GTAGCACCCTTGTAGTACCCTTAAAGTACCCTTAAAGCACCCTAATAGTACCCTTGTCGTACCCTTGCAGTACCCTTAAAGTACCCTTGAACCCAAACCCGAAGATCGCGGCGCCGCCTCGCAGCTCAAGAGGCTGTTCCTCTGGCTGGCGAGCGGCCGAAAGCTGCTGGGACACCGGATCCAAACCTGGGCTTAAGGCCCTTAGGGTCTAGGGTCTAGGGTCTAGGGTTGAGCGTTTAGGGTCTAGGGTTTAGGGTTTCGGGTTTCGGGTTTCGGGTTTAGGGTTTAGTGTTTAGGGTTTAGGGTTTAGGATAGGGTTTAGGGCCCTTAGGGTCCGGGATTTAATGAGCTGCTTGGCTCCCAAAGTTAAAAATGCCAGGAATGTGGGAGGTCTGCGGCAATAGACCTCTTGTGTCAGGAGCTAGGGTTTAGGCTTTAGGGCTGGGCTCGGTGCACCAACCTTCCAACTCGTGGCTCAGCCACTGTACAATGCCAGCGAGTCACCGTGCTGGGGCCCTTGGAGGGTTCCAACATCTGCACCACTTCCTATGTCCGAGCTGGTAATAACTATGAATGTAATTATCATTATGGTTATGATTCTGATCATGACCGGTAATATTATTAGTTATGATTATGGTTATGATTATGACCATGACTAATAATATCAATTATTAGTGGTAGTCGTATTGGTAGTGGTAGTTGTAGTGGTAGCAGTGGTACTGGTACTGGTACTGGTACCAGTACGGGTACAGGTAGTGGTAGTAGTAGCAGAAGTGGTAGAAGTGGTAGTAGTGGAAGTAGTGGTAACAGTAGCACTAAAAGTACTAATCATAATACTAATAATGAAAATAATGATAATTATAATAATAATAATAAGAAGAAGAAGAATAATAATAAGTAACATTAAGGGCTTGGTGTTCGAGATTCATTTGAGGGCTTCCTTCAAATTAAGCACCCTAAACCCGAAAGCCCAGAACCCTAAAACTCTAAACCGAGAGACCTGCAAAGGAGGATCCCGCTATTACGGTTTCCTTGTTGGCATATGGGTAGTTCTCTAAATCAAGATCCCTTTTAGGACTTTTTTTTACAGGTGCCGTGCTATTTTGGGGACCTAAAAAGGGACCCTAATTTTGAGAACTACCACATTGGGGTTGAAGCTAGCAGGCAGGAGCCGGCGACGGGCTCCATCTAGTTTTTTCCGGGCCAAAGTCCCTTGCCTAGTTAGGCAGAAAAAGAAAGGTGAGACCGTGGGCACGAGGAGCGGCTTAAAATTGGCGGGTTCTGGCTTCCTCGAAGATTCGTTGATTTTGCTCACCTGAAGAAACATATTGAGTCAAAGGCCGGAAACCTTATTTTCCCAAATATACTTGCTAGTGTATACTAACCAATTCTGTCTTGGTCCTCCGACCCTCCGTTTTCCAATCTCGTATGTGTTCGCGGAGTTGGGTTTATAGCTGACTTGCCTTAGGAAATGTTCATCTAACGCAAGCGATGCAGAAGAAAATCAATGCCTTTCTCCATCTAATTTGGGGGCCTTGATAATTAGGACAGGGCTTTGGGGTATGCTAATTAATATAAAAAGAAACGGAGGCCTTGATATGAGGTGTGCGCTAGTAAAAAAAACAATGAGAAGCCCTCAAAAACGGTATCAAGCTTCTATAGTAAACCCTAAACCCTAAACCCTAAACCCTAAACCCTAAACCCTAAATAGTATCCCCAGCGCCCTCTGCAAAGCACCCTGCAGACCAGAACCCGGTCCTCGAGAGAGCGGCGCCCTTCCGAAATGTCCTGACACCACGGTTTAGGGTTTAGGGTTTAGGGTTTAGGGTTTAGGGTTTAGGGTTTAGGGTTTAGGGTTTAGGGTTTAGGGACAAGTTGCGAAGGCTGGGCGCGTTCTCGGGTTTAGTGTTCAGCCTGTAGGGCTTAGGTTTAGGAGTTTAGGGTCCACCATACCGAAAGCGCAGAACCAGATAAAGCCTGCCTAACTCATCTAGGGGCCCGAATATGCAACCAGAATACTAACAAGCACACGATTCTGGGAAGCCACCAAACAAATCGTAAAATTGCACACGTCAGTCAGAATAGTGGAGCCATAATATCCCCATTACAGTCTCAATTAAACTAAAAACCCCGAAACCTTGAATCTCTTGTAGAACCCTATCAAGTAAGAAGCGTCTGTCGCAGAATTAGAGCCCCGCGCTCCAGAACCCACTGATTATAGCTCACACAACCCAGAGACTCCAATATTCCTTAATTAAGGAATATTCCTTAAATTATAGTAGGATCCTTAATATGATTTGAGGTATATTCCTTAATTAAGGGGTATTGGAGTCTCTGGGAACCCTTGAAGCTACACAACCGACTCCACCAGGGCTCAAACCCTAAACCCCAAGCCTTTGAACCCTAAACCTCATACCCTAAACCTAAACCCCACGCCCTAGACCCTAGACCCTCAACCCTAAACCCCAAACCCTAAACCCCAAACCCTAAACCCCAAACCCTAAACCCCAAACCCTAAACCTCAAACCCTAAACCCTAGGAAAGGGTAAAGCCAGGAACCTCGCAGCTTGAGCCCTTCATCCGCTGGAGGTAGGGCTGCGTGAGCTGCACCTCAAGCACCTGAAGGAGGGCTTTTAGGGGTTTAGGGTTTAGGATCCAGGGTTTAGAGGTTTTTTATCCAGGTTCTATAAGGCACTGTCAGGTCACTACAAGGGTACTATAAGGGCTCAAAAAAGGGTACTATAAGGGTTTCAGGGTCTAGGCTTCAAGGGTTTAAGCGTGGCCCCAAAGGTTTAAGGCATTTCGGGTTTAAGGTTTACGGATTTAGTGCTCTGTGGTGTAGGGTTGCATGTTCTTAAGGATCGGGGCTAAAGCTTAGGGCGTGAGGGTCCCGGTCTGGGGATCTGCTTCACGGGACCCAGAGACTCCAATATCCCTAATTTAAGGACTCTTCCTTAAATTATAGTAGGATCCTTAATATGATTTAAGGTATATAAACCCTAAACCCTAAACCCTAAACCCTAAACCCTATTCCTTAATTAAGGGATATTGGAGTCTCTGGGGAGGTAGGGTTTCTGTAAGAACTCTCGTGAGTGTACAGAAAGCGCGGCAAAGGGCGTGCCATGGCATCCCGAGCGAGCATCAGGCTGATTCGTGTTTAGGGTTTAGGGTTTAGGGTTTAGGGTTTAGGGTTTAGGGCTTAGGGTTTAGGGTTTAGGGTTTAGGGCGCATCAGCAGCTTGGCTTCTTGGTTCGCTGGGTTCCGGCTTTGGTGCATCCACTGTAGTTTTGGCTTCAGGCTCCAGAACTGGAGGCTCAGAATCATATTGGGGGTTTCCGAAAATAGGGGACCCTGACATAGTACCCTAAATAATAGGATTCTTATTATAAGGACCCCAAAGTAAGGTACCCTAATTTTCGGAAACTCCCATATGCCTCCACCGGAGGCAGCGGCGCGAGGTCTGCCAGTTTGTCCAGGTACCTGGTAAAAGGACTGGTAATGAGGTACAGAAAGACGACAATTGCTACACCATGACCGAAGACAACTATCACTACTCCTGCTCCTGCTGCTGCTGCTACTGCACTACTACTGCTACTACTACTACTACTACTACTACTGCTGCTCCGCTTTCTTCTGCTACTTCTACTACTTGCGGCTGCTACTGCTACTGCTACTGTGTTACTCTGCTAAGGGGGTACTGTGCTACTGCTACTGCTCTACCTCTACCACCTCATGCACGACAACGGCAACGGCCACTGCACACTGCTACTACTACTGCTGCTACGACGAACCGTAAGAATTATAAGCTTCATCATAACTCAAAAACAACAGCTAATAGTAGCAGAAGCAAAACAACGGTGATGGCAAGCTGAAGATAAAGCAATCGTGATACTCAATCTGCAAACTCGAAACGACAATCATCAATAACAACAGCCACGGTCCTGACAACAATAGCAAGCATGCGACTCAGAGCGATAACAACAGTGCAGCGATTACCAACACAAGGATGCAGTAATCAAGAGCACCAGCAACCACAGAGCTTGTGGCAGCAATGCTAGCAACTGGCTTAGCACTGTTACAGGCGAGAGACATAAGCAATAGTGCTAGCACAATACAACAGTGTGATACTTGCACCCGTTTCAATACCAGCAATAGGTGTCAAAAATGACAAACCAGCAGAATAATCACCCTTCATTAAGTTTAGGAGTAGAAGGAAAAACAGAGGCAGTAGCAGCAAGACTCGTAGTACGTATCGACAACCAGTAAGCCATGCGAACAACAGCAAGTCACAGTTGGAAGAACTGTCATCGGAAGTATCATTGTCAGACTTTCGACAACCGGTTTGGCCCAACACACTCTGAAGTTGCCCCTGCTGTCAGCCATTCGCCGAAAGTTCTGCAAGCTGCACCCGCACTATTGAACTGCAGGCTATACTCTACTACAATTATATATACACAAGTAATATTCTACCGTAAGAACTTTATGCTGAAAGAGGTGCGAGGGACGAACCCGTTCGGGTTTAGGAGTTAGGAATCGGGCTAAGGACTGAGGGTTAAGTTTAGGGTTCGGTTAGGGTTCAGAGTTTAGGGCTCCCGGAAGGGCATCCGTTTGCCAGGTTGCCTGGCATAGTCGTCGAGCTTCGCTGGCGGCTCACCCTGCCGTCAAAGAAGCTGTGCTCTTGAGGCGCAATTCTTCGGAGAATCCCCGATAAGCAACAGTTAATGTAAGGAAAGTTTCTTAAGTGGTCGCTGGAGCGGTCACACTTGTTGCATGTACGCATGCCGCAAGTCAACACCCAGTGGTAAATCGGAAAACTGGAAACCGGTGCTATGACTTCAGACAACTCGCGCTGAATAGACCTGACACGGAAGCCCTGCGCCCCAAACATCCTTCCTAGATGTTCCACTTCATGTAAGAATGGTCGCTATTGGCCTCGATTTTCCAACGTGTGGTGCAGAGTCGCTCGCACACCAACCTCGGAAGCTTTTGGACTTCGATACACACCCAGGCCCCGTGGGTGGGCTGCTACGGTTTAGGTTCTAGGATTTGGGTTTAGAGTTCAGGGTTTAGGGTGGACCCTAAACCCTAAACTTCTGAACCCTAAACCCTAAACCCTAGACCCTAAACCCTAAACTTCTGAACCCTACACCCTACACCCTTCTTAAACCTCGTGGTTGACAGTTCAAGCTTCCGCCGTCGCCGAAGTGGGGAGCCGGAAAAATCGGCTTAAGGAGCTGCCTTCCCACTGCGGAAGTCCTAGACGCTACCCAGCTGGATCCTTATGGTTGCTGTATGTTTTTGCATACTATAGTATACTAGAATATCTTGCACAAGATATACTATAGTCCAGTATAGTATAGTATAGTATAGTATAGTATAGTATAGTATAGTATAGCATAGTGTAGTGTCGTATGGTAGAGTGGAGTATGGTATAGTATAGTACAGTATAGTATAGTATAGTATAGTATAGTATAGTATAGTATAGTATAGTATAGTATAGTGCAGGGTAGTGTGGTAGAGTCCCAGGTCAAACTGCCCATGGCGAAGGCAGCAGACACCGCTTTCAGCCAAGGTTCTGAGTCACCAAATCCAGGAGCACCTGGGGGTTCGGATGAGGATTAGGGTTTAGAGTTTAAGGATTGGAGTTGAAGGTTTGGGGATGTTTAGGGTCTAGGGTTTAGGTTTTAAGGGTTCGGGTTTAGGGTTTAGGATTTAGGGGTTCGGGTTTAGGGTTTAGGATTTAGGGGTTCCGGTTTGGGGTTTAGGATTTGGGGATGAGGAGACCACTTGCAAACTACAAAAGAACTGCGTCGGTTTAGTGCAGGGAACCCTAAACTCCCGAAATCCTGAAATCCTAAACCCTGAACCCTGGAACCCTCCCCAAACCCTGAACTCCCTACAACCTGAAACCCTAAGCCCTGACTCCTCAAACCCTTTAGGGTTTAGGGTTTAGGGTGAAGCCCTAAATCCTAAACTCCCTAAACTCTGGAGCACCAAGGCTCCTGAAACTCGAGCGAACCGTCCGGAATTCCATGGAAGCTCGGAGCGTCGCCTGTCAGGTTTCCGTGATGTCTGGATTTATTACTCCTGGTTTAGGGTACTGAGGGGGGTTTAGGGTTGAAGGTTTGCGGGAATAGGGTTTAGGGTTTAGGGTTATAGGGGTTTAGGAGAGTTTTCGGGATTTGGGGAGTTTAGAGGTTTTGGGATGGGGTTTAGGATTTAGGGTTTAGGGTTTAGGTTTAGGGTTTAGGGTTTAGGGGTTTAGCGGTTCGTAGTGTCCGTACGGGCGATACCGGTTGGCGCTGATGCTCGCTTTCTTAAGGGCGTTGGAAGTACCTACGGCCTGAGCTAATATAGGGGCCTTAATAATTAGAATCAGGTTTTGGGGGATATATTATACTATAATTCTAATAAGGAACCCCTCAAAAACCCCATTCCAAGTATTAAGTTGCCTACGATGCAGCGACTGGGCATTCGAACCTTGCACTAGGAACCAAGCCCAAGCCCGCAAGACTTAAACCTCAGCACAAGGGAACGCTGAACCAAAAAAGAACTAAAAAACCTGTGAAATCCCATGAAACCCTCTAAAGGCCCTACTATAATTAGGGTCCTTATTACTTAAAGGTTTTGTGGCATGTTATAGTACAATGATAATTACCACTCAGCCCTAAGGAATAGAATTTGGTAACTCTTCGGTCCTAAACCCTAAACCCTAA